AAGGGGAAAGGGGAAGCAGTCGAGAAAGGTTTCGTTGCATCCCTCTTCACAGCAGTCCACCAACCTACCTGTGGCACCAGATGTGTCCTTCACGTTGCGGTCCTGAGACACGTCCAGGTTGAGGGCACGTGCGGCGAGCTCAAGCGGCATATCCACGACAAGTGCAACCTGGAAGGCAGTTTTATACTCTGATGTGCCGCCTGCAGATCCCCCGATGAGTGCCAGTTCGACAACGGTCGACAGAGCATGTGCAGTTTTAACATCATCTTCATCCAGGGTGATGTAGTCCGCGATGTCGACATTCTGCTGGATGATGCCAAGCCTTTTGTGCACTGGCAGCTTCCGGGCCAAGGGCCCTTCCAGGAAGCTTCGAAGATCTGTTGCAGCCGGAAAAGAGCCCAGTGATAGCCGTGATGTCAGTGATGGCAGCATCTCGCGGATGTAGCGGGAACTTGTGTCGGTTTCATATTTAGCTGCAGATAGAGCACAACACGGCATTAGCACTCAATCCCTGCTTACAAAGGCAATACACAGCATTACGGGCCTCATACATTGCACTCACCGCTGGCTCCAACTTCCACCACACCTGCAGATGGGGGAGGATCAGGGAACCCAAGCCAATGCATGTTAGATCCGATATTTAATATATTACCCAGCCACCTCATGCAGGTACAGCTGCCTGGGTTTATCCCCCTTGTAACACATTACCGCCCTCTTCTATCCAGATCCAGAGTATGTTGACTCATCGCAACTCAGTTATCCCGTTTGGGTGCTAGTCTGGGCTGATAGTGCGGTGTTTCCTTTTCTCCGTGGCTTTTAGGAAAGCATTCAGCTCCAACAAGTTAACTTAAAAATGAGGCGAACTCACCAGAGCTGGGACCCGGTGGTGGGGCAGCAATTGCCGCAGCTGTACATCAAACAGGGAAAACGAGGGTGCATTATGCAGATAGGTCATTTGTCAAGACATAGCAGGGGTGTGCTCTTTTGGCAAAGGAACACACAGCTGACCAACGGTTCAGAAGACCGTGCATGGTATGCAGTGTAGCGAAGAAGCTCGTGGCATTCTCGTCCAGAACCACTACTTGCAAAAAATCGGAAGGGCATGCAGCTACCAAAGCCACCAGACTCTTACCAAACACAACAATGCTCATTGGAACACAACGGCGAAAAAATGAATGCAGGTCGGTCTATAAAAATGAGCACATTCAACCTGGATTCCCGATATGTGGCGGGTGCAGGTAGAGGCGACGCGGCTTGCATGTAGTAGCAATCTTCATGCAGCATTCTTAACACCCAAGCTAGCTTCACGCGCAAGTTTGCAAAGGCAACCTGCAAAACCTAGTTTCGGAACTCGCGACCAGCGTCCTGTCTACTCTCAACCACAATGCCTAAGCACCGCAGCACAATTGTGGCACAATTCTCGCAGGGCTTGACGAGACACTCCTAACGCCCTATGCGTCCAATGACACTCCTAACGGCCCCTTGCGCAAAACTTACAAGTGCGTGCATGCAGTAGCGGTTTACAGGATACGTACCTAGCTATGTTAAATTACGCGATTGCATACAACTGACCTTGGATGGCGGCTTTTAGAGCCAACTGTTGTCGAACAGTGAGGCCTGCTGCCTGTTCCGCATTCAGCAGTCGGAAAGCGCCGCCGACCTCGGCATCTACGTCAAAGCCTAAATCTGACAGGGCCGCAACAGTTGGCGAAATGGATCCGGCGTCCTCGCCCCCCACAGATAGCAGGGCTTGCCGGATGGTCACCATGTCTTGATGCCCCCGCCTTTCTTACGTCCGCTAGTCATTTTCATTAAGCAGCCCCTCGCACAAATGTGTCCGGTCGTACTTCCCGAATAGAGAATCCGTACATCGTCCTAAAAGTCAGGAGCGAATTTTGCCGCGCCGATGCGCGCTTGCGATTCTCAAAATGCGCCTGTACAAGTGTATATATTTTTTCTTGGCGGAAAAGGACCAGGCGCGCCAGCGCGTTGCGCAGGTGGGCATGTTGGCCATAGCCGCACGCGGCATGCAGGCTGGACTATTGCGTCGATGCTTTGCAGTAACTAAGAGCACCGAAAGCCAACGTCGTAGCTTGCAACTCTGGGCTCGTGAAACTGCCGCGGAAGATGAAGCGCTGGCGAAGAGGCAGTTGTATGCAGCACCTTGTTCAGAGTAAAGTCAAATTACAAAGTTGCGCAAAGTATAACATACATAAACTTAATTAAACATAAGAACAGATAAGACGTTTAGAGCCTTGTCGGTGACATGGACGCCGCTGTTGGCTTGGAACAGCTATTTGCTGTGCATAGGGACGTGCCCGCGTTAGCCGTGTTGCAACAGCTCAGGATGGATTTCAGCCAGCAACAGCCTCAAGAGCTGCTGCACAACCACCGGGAATGTCTTCAGTTGGGCACGTGTAGTTTTGGTATGCGCACAGAAACCAAGGTGCAGCGTTCTGTAACATCGCCAACATATCCGGTAGGCGGTGGCAGGCTTGCCGAGCACGAAATGAAGGGGGGGTCGCAT